TATTTCATGATATTAGATACAAAAAGTAAAACTGAAAGTAAATTTTTTGATCCTGCATTTGGGTAAATTTTCAACTTTGTATAAGTTATACTCTAACTATACTTTACTGTAATAATGTAATGTGCACAGTTACAATAACGTGATCTCTAAAGTAAATATGTTGCATACGGACTTTTCTTTTAATATCGAATTTAAATGTTTATATTCTGTGTTTCTTTAATAACTGATGTAGGAAAAAATTACTTATTTTTGTTGTTAAATGTCAATAATCACATAAGTGATATCTTCAACCTTACATCATTCATCAAACAAGTTCAGATTTCTAGCGAGACTTGATTTTGTAATTGCGATGTGGTGAAAAAGTTTGGTTTAGAAAATGAAATACTTTTTTTAGTTTTTTTTTAAATAAAGTTATAGTATATTTTTTTGTTGACTTGTCTTTTGAAAGATTTTTAAAAAAATAAAGACTATTTTTAGACATTTTTATGGAGCAAATGTAATTTAATCAGTTTCAGTGACCCTTTTTCTAGTTCTTTCCTTTTTAGTTTATAGCCGAAATCGATCTGGCCGGATTTAAAACCAGTCACTAAAGAAAGCTGAAAGCATATCAATAATGTTTTAGTTACAATAACATCAATTAAACGTTTTACTTTTTTTTTATAAATAATGAAAAAAAGAAAGAAACATGAAACAGAAACTTTAAATTAGAGAAATGTATAAAAAAAACAAACAAACATTGAATGAATGAATGAATGAATGAAAAAGCCTTACCAATACCAATTGTTTTTTCTCGTTTGCTGAAAATCCCTTTTTCTTTAAAAGCGTAAAAACGTCGACCCCCAAAAAGGACTTAGTCTCAGCAGGTGTTAGGAGGCAAATGAGTTTGTTTTGTTAGTGTTGATATTTTTAATTTATTTATTTGCTTTTTTCATTTTTTTTTTTTTTTTTTTGCTGGGTGAGGAGACACCCCAATTATCTTTTCTTTTGTTCACTTAATTTTTCTCTTGGAGTATTTTTTTTTTTTTAAATCTTTGGTTACATTGATAAAAAATATTCTCGTCTTTTAAAAAGACTTGAGTTAGAGAAGGAGGAAAAATGTATTTTTCTAGAGAAATAACTAGTAAAAAAGAAGTGAATTAAAAAAATAAAAATAAAAAAGCGAACACAAGTTTTCCTTTTTCTTTTTCTTTTCTTTCTGAAATCCGAAATCGCAAATTTCCGGTTGTCGGATTTTAAAGAGCCACCCCGGGTGGGTCTGTTATTTTTATCCCCCCAAAAGTAGAGTATTTTGAATTTTGATTTTGTTGGCTTTATCCAGCAGAACAGATGGCGCAGGAAGAAACAGTCATATGAAAATTATTCCCGTGGTTTACTGTCATTTAGTGATACTACAATTTAAAAAGGTAAATGTGTATGTTTTGTGTACACATGCAGCAGTGGTGTGTGTATTTATTCGGATATGTGAAGAAGAGGAACAGTAATAGAGACGTAGTAAAATCGAAGACGTTATCGATTATTTTCGCAGACTGCTGCTGACTGACTCTCCCTACCAATGATGAGGGAGATATATTAACATATGTAAGTAGGTAGAGCTACAAGGTGGGATTTTAAATCGTAAATAATGTTCACAGCTCTGTAAAACTAAAAGTAAACGAAGTGCGATGACTGGAAGAGTCTTGATGATAAAAGTGAGGGACGATCGGGGAAGATGCTGGGGAGTGAGAAAGCGAGCGCAAGGGTTATCAAAAAGAAAAGTGGAGAAGATGAAGGAAAATGATTTGTAGATTGACGAATTTTGAGAAGCAGCAAGTGAGAAGGAAAATTAAAAAAAAAAAAAAAGCGACAGAAGATAAATAGGAATAGACTTAGACAAATTATTAGAAACACACTTAGATTAATAACTAATAGATAGGAACAAACTATTAGTAAAAACAGACTTAACAGATAGATCTATCTAATTAGCTAGCTAGCTGGATAGATAGATAAATTAAATACATACTTAGATAGATACATACTTAGGTAGATAGATACATACTTATATAGAGATAGAAATGTACTTTGTTACATTCTTCTTAAAACCAGATCTTCTGATTCATTCTACACTAATTTCCACCAATGGCCAGATGAAAACACTCCGAACACCCAAAAAACTGAACTAAAATTCAACTGGGCAAGGCTCCACACATACCTTCCATTTTTACTCACACACCCACAGAAAAATAAGCAATACAATCCAGAATTTCGACACAATAGCAACCACTCCCATCTAAAGAAACAAAATAAAAACTGGAGCCAATTTGAGCCTAAGAAATGACATAAAACCCATCAAAGGGACATTTTGGCCTGGGTTCACAGACTTCTTCAGAAAGCAACCTCCCATCTTCAAGAGACAGCTTGCCAAAGGCCGTCGCGGCAGTAAGTCACAATTCATCCCCCTTTTCCTTCTGCACGCCTCCGTGGACGCTTTTTACAATTCCACTTATCTCCTTTTTTCAATGAGAGACATTTACACCAATTTATCATTTGTTGTATTTTACATTAATACAATTGTTTATTTCCTTAAAACCATCATTGTTTCTTCTTTGTTCTGCCACCATACACTTAATATAACAATACATACTTAGATACATATTTATAGAGATAGATATATACTTAGATACATAGTATAGAGATAGATGCATACTTATAGAGATACATACAGACTTAGATAATATTAGGTTGGTGCAAAAATAATGTCGTTTTTTGACATTCAACTTCAAAAGAGAAAACGACATTATTTTTGCACCAACCTAATAGACAGTGATAGATAGATACAGAAAATTATTAGAAACAGACTTAGATAGTAACAGAGATATAGATAGATAGAAAGGAACAGACAAATTATAAAAGAACTAAAAGTTAAATAAACTTAGATAATAACAGGGTAACAGGTGTAATTTAGGAAATCGAGAAAAATGATAATAAATGAAAAAGAAACTTTTTTTCCATTCATTCTTTTTTTTTCTCCAATTTTTACTTTTAAAAAAGAAAGTAAATTTAACTTATTTTTCATGACATCCTTACATTTTTTTTAAATCAATATATGGATTTTATTGACTAAACACAAACAAAACATTTGCAACATTATTAAACAAACAATTGAGCAATTGCATTTTCTTGCTTGCAATCATTATTTTGTGTGTGTATTTTTATAATGCTATTAAATTATTATTATATTATTTTCATCAGAAAAATCTCTGAACTTTTAGAAGAAAAGTAAAACTAAATCTATGTACATTTCAAATTATAATTATTTCTATGTATAATGTTTACAACTTTGTTTTTTTATTGATGTTTTTTACAGCTTATCAACCTTTTGCAGGTTATTTAAAGCCAGAAATTTCTTTTTAGAATTTTTGTAAGAATTTTTGACAGATAATAAAGATTTACTGATACAGGTCCTGCTAGTTAACCCATAGATTGGGGGAGAAAAGGTGGATTCGTACCTTTCCCAATATTTTGATTGATTCATTCATTTTCTACAGCTTATTAACACATTGCAGGTTATTTAAAGCCAAAAAACCCGTTTTTAGGCTGCAATAACTTTTTTTTAGATAATAATGATTTAGTGATACAAGTCTTACTAATCAAACCATAGCTGGGAGGGGGCGAGGAGAAATAGTAGATTCATACCTTTCTCATGGGTATTTGTGCATGAGTGAATATAACAAACCCAAATGGAATTGGAACTTGGCTCTCTAATTAACAATATTGATCTGTTATCCATTACCCCAACTGCACATTCAAGTTTAAAGCACCTGGTATTCCCAAGTGCTCGCCCATCTTGGTACTGACCTGGCTTGACATTCATTAACTTTGGTGACTGTACAGGAACTGTTGTTTCAACATGATATGGCTATAAGAGTTTTACTACTGTGTACAAACAAGTCCAATTGATTTGACAACCAGAGAAATTCCTATTTCCTCCCAATATTTTCTTCAAGGTTACTCCTACCAGAGGTGGTAGCACCTGTTAGGGTCCTAGTTATGGGCAAATAGAAAACCTGCAAACAAAAATCAAAACACTAGGAAAGTATAAAAATACATGTTTATAGTAAAAATGGCACTCAATACATTTTATAAAATTGAAGACATTGTAAAAAAATAAAAAATAAATTTTCTATGATTAATCTCATTTCTTGGAAGAAGAAACAAGTTTTCATTCCTCGTTTGATTTTCTAAGATTATTTGGTAAAAAAAAATGTTGCTAAGTAATTATAATTTACTCATGAAATAATGTCATTCTCTTGAATTGATTATAAAGTTTGAATTGTCATGTTTAGAATTCAGCATTAAAATAACCTAAAGAGATTGATATGCCACTAAACAAAAGCAACCAACAGGCCAAAATACTCTGACCAACCACATAGAATAAAAGCTTCTTTATTTTGACGGCACACATCTCTTGACCTTCATTGACTCATTGAACTTTAAATGTTCAACTTAACACAAAAAGCATTTTGTTTGTTTATTTTATAAGTTTTTTTTTTTTTTATCCCTTTTCCATGAATGAGACAAGTATGTCAATCAAGCAACAATTTTACCCACTATGCTGTGGTAACCTGTACATCTGTTGTGATGATTACTTTAAATTTAATCTCTTTATGTAAGAGTCGATTACACAAACAAGGGACTTTTTTTTTTTTTTTTTTTTTTTTTTTTTTTTTTTTTACATTTTCTGTGTACTAAGTAACTAGATATTTAATACTTGAGAATTTATGCCCATGATTCATGATGGTGTTTAGTTTTTAGGACCTAGAATATGAACATGACAGCTATTTTATTCATTTCCCTATTCTCAGTAATTGCTGAGGATTTTAAATGATTTGTTGTTTTAAGGTCCCGGGCTCCCAAGTCTTCCACACTTTGCAGAATAATGGTATAACACAAAGATGGTGAACCACTGACCCGCGGGTCATGAACTGATCCACTATCAACTTTTAAAACGAACCATCAGGCTTACGATCACTTCATGTTGAAACACCAGTTCCCATAAAATCACTGAAGTTAAGCAATGTTGAGCCTGGTCAATACCTAGATAGGTGACCGTTTGGGAATACCAAGTGCTTTAACTATTAATAAGTATATTAAACAGACATGTATAGGCATATGGCCTGCCGAGTGGTTAGAACGTTCACATTCTAACCATAAGACCCGGGCTTGAATCTCACCATGGTCGATTTGTCTCCGAACTGGAGAGGTCGATTCCAGTGTATGGCACCTTTAGAAAGTGCCTGAATACCATGGGTTGACCCAAACCTTGTGAGTGAAATTGGGTAGATGGAACCCTTGGGGGCCATCGATAGCTGTTCTAGCACAAAGTCACAAGTCATTATGGGTAAGGGCTTGAGCATGCTGGCCTTGTTTAAATTGTTGATCATGCTAGATAACATGCTCTTTCCCAGAAACTGTAACTAAGGTCTGCTCAGCATAGTTGCAGTATAAACCACAGATGAGCTCTGTGGGTGTTAAATAAACACAAATGTGCCTGAGCAAGCGTCTGCAATAGGGATTGGCTAGCCACCCTATTAGACGGGTATCCTTGAATATGAGTGGCCAGCTATACAAAAAAAAAAAAAAACAGGCATGTAACAAAGGAAAATAAGAAATTAAGTTAAAATTGTGAAGAGTTCAAAGCAACCTTCAGTATGTATCTCTGAGGTACTTACATGTTGACAGAGCAAGAAGAGCAAAACCAAAAAGGAAAGAGGAAGAAGCTTTCAAATCTTGTGCTACCTGTGATTATCATCAGGGGCGGTAATTCAATATTTTGCCGCCTGTGATTATTGTCAAATTTTTTTAAATTAAATTCTTCTATCTCTTAATACTTTATTTAGTTTCTGGCCCAAATTATGATCAGCAAAATCCAGAGATGGATATGCAGTGTGATAGGTCCTGATCTGGCATCTCGTTTACAGTCACTTTCTCACAGACATGCTGTGGCTTCCCTTTGTCTTTTCTACAAATTTTTCATGGCAACTGCTCTGGCGAGTTACTTTCACTGATAACCCAACTGCATGAATTTAAGCATGAGGTTAGCATCTCAGTCTCACCTTTTCACTGTCAAAATAGTTAAATGTAACTGCCTCTTCTACACCAACAGCTTCTTCTCTTGCACTTCCCAACAGTAGAACTCCCTTTCTCCTACTTGCTTCCCTGATGGCTATAATCTTCAAATATTCAAATGTAATGTCAAATGACATCTTCTGATGCCTTGATCCTGATCCCTGTTCATCTCTATATCCTTTCCTCAAACACCCCTGTTTATTCTTGTTCTCACTTTCTGTAACCCATTGCATGCTAGTGACACTTGCTTGGGGGGTGAAATGCTTAAAAAAAAAATTTACCTGACTGACTCTAGAAAATGGAGAAATTTGCTTCATAGGCTTTACTTTTGTCTGAAATCAGTATGCTTTATATGAAACCCAAAGAAAAAAATGTCTGCTTATTTCATGGCTATACCAACATGAATCTATTAACAATGCATGATGGGAATTTCAGTCTTTACAGTTTTATGGTTCAAGTATGAAAGATGGAAAATTCCCTCAATCATAATAGTCATATTACAAACAATAAAATTTCTATTTGGTTGTAATTGAAAAAAATTCTGTTGTATTTGTGGGTCAGAGAATCAAAGAAAGCGGCACACCTTCTACCAAGCAATTAGTGCCCAGAAGCTATTTAGTCCAAAAAGGTAATTTAATTTTTTTTTTTTTATCTCCTTTGATCAATGATCAATCAGTCTTTGATTTATCACCTGATGGGAAAGAAGTCATAATTAATTATTTATTAGATAACAAACAAGTACTTTGCAGGCAAAGTGGTTATTCAGCAGAAACAAAATATTTTAATTTTATTTTTTGGGAACTTCAGGTGTCAAAATAAAGGTGACAATCCTGATAATGTTTTAGAGATTTTTGAATCCATACAAAATGCAAAAATAATCACTGACCCTACAAAATTATCTAACACACAAAAATTGATTTCTTTAAATAAATATTTTTTATTTTTTTTACTTCTAAGCTATTTTCTTTATTAAGATGTCATCTGCTTATCTGATGCTGTTAATATTGTACTCACTAATACTAAATCCTGTTAGAACTCTTATTTCACTTCAGATCGCCCCACTGTAAATGTTGAATAAGTCTGGTGAGAAGACACTTCCTTGTTTTTTTTCTTTTTTTACTCTTTTCACTCCAAACAAGGCAATAAAGCCACTAAGACACAAGGAGATACTGAAAGTGAAAGAAACAGGGCAGTAAAGGATTCAAGGAAACAGAACATGATGATTGGCATTACATTTAAATTCTCAAAGATTGTAGTTGACAGAAAAGTGAAACGTGAGGGAGAAAAAACTATTAGCATAGAGTTTATGGTTACATCTCACAATTTCAACAGTAAAATGGTGAAACATAGCCGCCAATCTGTTCTTCTATGTGCCATGTCTCCTCAGGATGTTGGGAATCATGGCTTTCCATAATTTCTTGTCCTTTGTAGCTCTTAGAGAATTTTGACTGTTTTTATCCCTCCAAAACTCTGTTGACACTATTTGCAATAGGATGCCTACATTACTTAATAATTGCTAATAGATTAACTGAAAGCACAACAAGCAATTACTTTCTATACACTTCTGCTTTTATGTGCGATGTCTCTTCAGAATTCAATTTCCAATCAAGTCCATTACATTCATTTACATGCTAATACGCTTGGGAAAGGTATGAATCCTTTTCTTCTCCCCCCAGCTATGGATAAATAGCAGGACAGATTGGGTTCTATAGCCGTGAATGGCAACTGGTCTACCACAGAAAGAAATGGCAACCTACTGCGGGAAAAAATCTGCCTCATCAGTCATGTATTGAAAGATACATGATCGCCTAAGTGTGCATCCCACATGGTACATAACTTACTGAATGGAGGAAGAAGAGGATTCATATCTTTCCCAAGCATTTTAGAACATAAGTGAATGTAATGGATTTGACTGGAATTTGAACTCAGCTCTAATTTTACTGTTTCTTAATACTGTACTTAGCATCTTTCACTACCCCAATGCACTTTTGGATTTTGGCATCACACTTTCCATCCTCTGTTAAAACTCAGCTATTTAAATTGTTGTATTTGTTTGATTTTGATATCTCCAATTTGTAATTTGCATGTTGGACTGTTCCTTTTTGCTGACAGCCATGTATTCTGTCTTCTTGCAATTAATGTTTAGTCCTTTCTTCATGCCTTCCTTTACTACCTTCTATAGAAGTTCTTGTAGTTTCATTTAATGTACTTAAATTTGTGAAGTCAAAGAGCCAAATAGGAAAATTCATCAGATTCCTTCCTGTTTTTGTAGAATTACTCAATTCATTTTCTATCTGTATACAGGCAGTTTTCTCCCAGCGGTAGAAATTCAATTCTGTCTCCAAATCTTGAGTTCTTCCAATCAGTCAGTAACTTGTTGGGACTTTTGGTTCATTTAATTAATCAGAAGGATTTTGTTCGGATCGGTTGTGTGTCTAAACCTTGTCCCAAACAAATATATAACAAACATGAGATTTCAAACAAAGTAAAAACGAGACATTTATAGATCGAAACAAATAAAACATTTATATACAATTACATATTTACAAACAAGGTTAATATTTGTATTGTTGCGTGCATTAATTGTATATGTTGCTGAAATGTTGGATGTCTCTGTGTCGTTATGTTTGTTATTTTGTGTTTGTGTTGAAATATATAATAAGAGTTTTTTGGTAAAGTTTGCTAAAGTAGTCTACCTTTGAACGTGTCTGTGTTTGTTTTTTGTGATTCGTATTTCTTATTTTTAGTAATGAATAAATCAATGTGCATAAGAAATATTGTTCAAAGTTTCGATAGTTGTTCGTTGAGTGTTTCAGGTGAGTCAGTTGAAGTTAAATCAAAAAATGCGCGTAAAATTCTGTTTTTGAATGTCGTGGATTAATTAGGCAATCGATCGGCGAGTTCGCTAGACTGACTGACTGGGGTTGTCTTTTCTCCTTTTATAACCTTTTGGTTTTCGAAAGTGGCTCAAGATATTTTGGCGCAATTCTTGCTTTGGGAGGCGATCTACCAATAGAATTGCTTGATTAGATTCTTTGCATTTTTATTGGTTGAGCGTTATCTGCCAGTAGGCGATAATATGGATTATGCTTTTTTAAGGTTGGAGAAGGTTAGAAAATTAGAAGAGTCCACAATACCTCCCCAGATTAATGCCTTGGCGAATGAGCATTAATATGTAATGTAGGTTCAGTACTTGGTTGGCCAGTGAACATTCCTTCCTGATTTTGTACGGGTAGACTGTGTTGATTCGGTCGTATCAGTAGTTGTTTGCGTTTCTGTTTGTTCTGTTGTCGTCGGTTTTGTTATTGTTCGATCTGTGTCGTCGGATTGCAGATATGCTGGTTTGAGACGGTCTATACTGACGGTGTTCTGTTTACCGGCGATATCAATTATGAAGAATTTGGGTGTTTTAGATATTACCAGGTGTGGACCTGTGTAGTTGGGCGTTAATGGTTTCCGTACAGTGTCGCCCTCAGGAAAACATATTCTGCTGAATGTAGATCTGCTGGCACGTAGAAAGGTTTTTTATACGCTCTCGTGGGTGTATATATAACGTCCATCATCTTCTTTTTAGGTCTGCCACAAAGTAATTCGTTGGTGTAGATGTCGTCTCGTTGTGAAATATCTGTCCAGGCAGCGTTGTTGCTTTCCCAAAACTAATTCTGCACTGGTGCATTTGAGATCCAGTTTTATTGTATTTACGCAGCGCAAGCATCACAAATGGTAGCTTATCTACCCAATGCATTTACACTGGTAGACGCTGTTAATGCGTACTTGAGCTGTCTATGGAATCTCTCCACTATTCCGTTGCTGCATGGGTGGTATGCGGTGGTAGAGATGTGTTTTATGCCTAAAATGTTGACAAATTCGTTGAATAGCGTTGATTGAAATTGGGGACCTCTGTCAGTTGTGATAACTGCAGGGCATCCAAATATAGAAATCCAGTTGTTGAAAATTGCGTTAGCCACTGTTTCTGCCGTTATTGATGTTAGTGGTATCGCA